GTCTAAAACAAAAGGTACAATCCTTCTGATAGGAGGCTACAAGGCGAACGAGACGGTCTGGGAGGCCTAAGTCGTACAGTTTGTAGATAAGGCCCTCGTGCCAGACTCTGTCGAATGCCTTGGCAATGTCAAAGAAGACCGCGATGGTTTTTTGACGGCGAGGGTAAAAACCGCTGAGGATGTATTCCACTATGCGGTGAACTTGTTGGGGGCACGAGTGTTTGGCTCGAAACCCGAATTGTTGTGGGATGACAAGAGGGTCGCCGTCTGTGGGAAACAAATGGCGCCTCAAGCGCACGAGAATGACTCGTTCGAAAAGTTTGCCCATGGCCTTGAGGAGGCTGATGGGACGGTGATTGGAGGGGGAGGTGGAGAGTTTTGCCTGGCTTGGGAATTCCAATGACAGTTGCCTCTTTCCAAGAGGTGGGAAAGTAACTGAATTCGAAGCAGGCGTTAAAGATAATGGCCAGTAAGGCGATTACCTGCTCCGGGAAGTGTTTGAGGGCTTGGTTGGAGATACCATCCGCACCCGGTGCTTTTTTGGGCTTAAGTCCTTTGATGGTAGATGAAATCTCATCTTTGGACGCAGTGATAGGGTCAGAGGTGGTAGGGGGCGAGTTCCTGCGTCGGACCTCGTCCTCCACTAGTTGGATGTGTAAGGGGTCAGTGGGTTGTGAGCTAGGAGAGCATTGAGCGGTGACGCTGTCCGCGAAGCACTCAGCCTTTTCTTCGTCTTCGAAGGCAATGGAGCCGTTGGGACGAGACAGAGGGGGGAGTATGGGTTATAGCGTATATCCGGAGGGCTCTCGCCATCCGGTAGTACGCTGTGTGAGAGGGAGAGATTTTCTCCATGAGATTGCCCTTTTCGTGGTCTCTGTAGTTTTGGAGGCGGTAACGCAGTTTGCGTTGAAGGCGGTGGGCCGCGAGTATATATTCGGGAGTGGGATAGCGTGCAGCTCTACGGAGGGCAGCTTTTTTGGCTTTTAACAGGTTGCTAATATCTAGGGGGAAGACTAGTTTTAGCAACCGGGACAACTTTTTCATTCTCTTTAAGAGTGGATGTTATAAGTGAGGTGAGATTTTCGACCGCGGTGTCTATTTTTCCCGCACTGTCGAGGGCGTCGGAAGAAAGGGTTATGGGAGGGTCCGGAGAGTCTATAGCCGAGGTTAGAGACTCCTTGAAGTCCTTCCAGTTGGTGTAGGTTTTGGAAGTGGGAGTTGGAGATGGCTGATGGCCAAGAAGGAGGGATACAGGACGGTGGTCGGATCCTAGATCGTCGAGAGGCTCGATTGCTCTAAAGTTAAGGGAAACTCCTTTAACTAGAGCAAAATCTAGCACATCAGGAGCGTAGGTAACAATGTCGGGATAGTGGGTGGCCGTGAGGGGGGCTGTAGACAGTCAGGTCGAGAGACTGAGTGATATTGAGCAGCACCCTGCCACTACTGGTAGTAGTGCGGCAGGTCCATTCAGTATGCTTGGATTTAAAGTCTCCAAACATAATGACTGAGTCGCTTAATGCAAGGATGGCTTCGAAATTACTCTTGACGGGGAGGGTTCCGCTAGGGATATAGCAAGAGGCTATAATGATTGACTGGTGTCCAGTCATAGCTAGTCTAGTGATAGTGGCTTCCATACTGGTAAGCGACGGAGTAGATATGTGGGAGCAATGAAGGGACTTTTTGTGATATGTGGGGTCTATCGTTTCGTGGAAGTAAATAATTTTTAATAGTAAGGCCTTTGGAGACCTTGGGGCTGAGATGGGTCTCCTGTAGGAGGAAGAGATCGGCTTCGCGATCTCGTAAAAAAAGCCTAAGCTCTGGGAGGTTATTTCGCAGACCGCGGATATTGAATGAAACAAGCGACAATCCCTTTGGTTTGGTACGACCGTGAGATATTGCGGGAGCAGAGGGCTCCGGCATAGTTTAATTATAAAAACCTTAGAAGGTTGATGTGCTCAGTAAGAGCAAGGAGACGGTCCTGAGGGGACTGAGCTGTGCGCAGTTTACCCGCAAGGATAAGGATTTCATCTAAATTGATCCTATTGAGAGTGTTATACACTAGGTTTAGAGATTCTACTACAGAGTCTGTCTGTTTTTTTGGGTCGGCGGAGGGCCGCGGGATATTTGATTCCTTTTGGAACCAGGGGTTTATTGGAAGCGGCGCTGGCTGAGAGAGCGGAAGGCTCATAAGGGGCCGAGGAGGGCCCTGAGGTGGCCGATAGATGCCCTGTGTGGGCTGGGATGAGCCCTGAGGGGGCTGAGGTAGGGGCTGGCCCTGGCTGGGCTTGCGGTTTACAAGAGCCGGGAAGGTTCGGTCATTGACCTGTGGTGGAGCTTTGCGGCTCGGAGGTGGGCGAGGGGCGCGAGGGCAACCTCTAAAATTGGCCGGATGGCCTGTTTGTCCGCAGTGGACACATGAGGGTGGGGATTCGGCGTTTTTGGGTCGTGGGCACTCTTTCGAGTGATGGGGTTCTAGGCACTTAATGCACCTGGGTGGAGCTGAGCACTTGGCTGCCGCGTGTCCATAGAGTTGGCAGCGGTGGCACTACGCTGGGTAACCGCGCCGGTGAGGGGCTTCGACCTTAACACGCGACAGGCCGCACACAGTGCGTACCTCGCGGAAAATGGCCTTCGCCTCCGGCACATTGGTGACAACGAGGAGGGCGAGGTTAAACCTTTCGCCCCTGCTGCTGTGCATTTTATGCACACCTTCAATGGGAAAGCCTTGGGATTTAAGGTCTTCCAGAATGTCCTCGTTTGCGAGTTCATAGGGAACTCCGCGGAGGACTGCCTTGACTTCCCTTTCTTCGGCGAGGGCGTATGTGTGGTAGGACACACGCTCGGCCGTGAATAGGCGGGTTGTTACGGAAGTCTTCTATAAACGCCGGCATAATTTTGATGGCCTCGCCGACATTAGTGGCTTGGTCATATTTGAAACCCTTATCATAGAGGGTTTTGGAAAACTGAGTGAATTTCGCCTTGTCTCTGAGAAAGACAGGGGGCGGGACTTGGTTTTTAGCCAATTTGGGAGCGCAGCGGGTTGCTGGCTTGGCGGTATTGTCTTTCGACTGTGAGGCGGCAGCGATTGGGGCTGCGGAAGTAGGGGCAACGATGGCAGCTGTGGAGGTAGAGGCAGCGGCGGAGGGTGTGCGGGCGGTGGCGGCGGCGGCCGCTGAGGCGGGGGGAGTGCGAGAAGTGGCAGCGCGTTTCGGGCCGCGCTTTGATTTCACTAGTGTGAATTGGGCTGATAGGTTATGGTTCCTTCGGAGTCGGAAGAATCCGAGGAGCCGGTGGAGCTGAGGGCGGTCCTCTTCCGGGAGGATGAGGTAACGGACGTGGTGTCCGAGTGCTCCATATCGGAGTCGGGGGGACGCGGGAAAGTCGGACTGCGGGGGCAGCCGCTTGGGTCGCGAGGAAAGCCGCGACGGCGGGCGGGGGTACACATGCCTTAGGGGCAGCGGGGGGGGAAAATGGCTTTGGCGAGAAGAGTCTCGTCAATTTGGGCGGTTGTGGGTATTCCTGCGGCTTGGATCATTTGTACGATCGTGGCCGCAACTTGGCTCATGAGTGAACTTATGTCCATGGAAGACATGTTGATCTGGACAGGGAAGATGACGTTTTATTCTATGAAAACTAGAGGTCCCTGTTCTGAGAAGAACAGGGCCTTGGGGGCAGATGGGGAGGACTGACGATCTATTCCCAGAAGCTGGGGTCCCTATGTTCTGAAAAGAACAAGGGCTCGCTCTGAGAAGAGCAAGAGACGATCTTCTAAGAACAGTATATACAACAATACAACAAGTAACAGTATAACAAAAACAATAACAATAACAGAAAAATTAAAAATAAAACAAAACAAGCGAAGCGCGCTCAAGCCTCCCCGCCGGAGCAAGGGGGCAAGAACGATGCGAAAAACAAAGTGACCAACGGCGTCTGCTCGGCCGGTGTTAGCCGGGGAGAGCGGGGCGCGCGGGCAAGCGGTTGCGCTACCGAAGCATCGGAGGCGCGAAAGAACTGTATGCACGGCCGCTCGGGGGCGGCGCGCAAACGGAACTGAGCTCGCACTCGGACCCCCCGCCTTTTTTATAACTCCCGCCGCGAGCCGCGTCAAGCGTGGCGACCGTTACACAAAAATAATCCTTATAGAATGATTCAGTATTCACGCACGATGGCTTATCAGCGTAGTTCATATATAACTTTGGTGTTTCTAGACCGATTTCTATGCTTCTTTTTTATTGAATAGATAATAATGTTAACTTCTTTTAATTAGGGATGAGTGAGAGTGTTATAAACGTAAGAGTAGACAAAAATAATCAGAAAGCTCCGAACTGCTAAGCTATCGGGAGTTACACGTGTTATTGTGAGTCAACCATAAAAGATAGACATATGCTGCCGTGGGATATTTTTTATATAATTTTAAGGAGAACATTTCCGTTATACATGATTTCTGTGTAGCTTTAACCACTAAGGCTGCACACGCGACGGAAGCTTAAAAATGGAGTAATTTCTCCCGTTTCCCCAACATTGCCCTTCACTGCTCTGCTCCTATTGATCGTAGTGTGATGAAAAGTATACTGTAACCTGCCCAGGAGTACGAAGAATGATTGTAACAAGTTTCGATAAAATCCTTCGAGTAGTTTTTGTTTTTAAAACGAACATACAGACAGACAGACAAAAATTTTACTGTTTGCATTTTTGGCATCAGTATCGATCACTAATCACCCTCTGATAGTTATTTTGGAAATATATTTCATGTACAGAATTGACCTCTCTACAGATTTATATAGTATAGATTATTTGGATGTCTCTGCTAGAAATAATTTATTGATTTAAGAGCAATCTAAACGATTTATTGATTCCCAAGATCCAACATTAAAAGCGTAGCTATTTACAAATACACTTAAAAATGATACAATATTTTTTTTAAATACTCGTATGTTGGCCTAGGTGGTATTGTTATATTCAAACTACACTACAAAATAATAGAAAAGCTAGTAACGTACCTCTCAGGTGTGGCTAGTGTGAGGTTTGGTGCAGGAAACGCTCCGTCCACAGCACATATGACGTTCACAGTTTCATCTTCAGTCTTGTTCTGGATCAGGTGAAAGTTCGTCTCCGGAACTGAAACATAGCACTTACAAGGATATTTCGTAAGATGGCAGGTGAGGGTTAGGTTAATGCGCTGTAAAAAAACAGGCACGTGCCAAGACCACAAACATCTCTCACTAATATTTTAAGTTTCTTGAAGTATTTACTTTCTTTATTTTTTAGTTTCTCTTAGATGTATATATATGTTATGTAGAAGGAAAAGTTTTTGTAGTTTACAGCACCTGTGACTTTTATTACATCAGCAGACTTTTTAAGACCACTGCTATCTTTTTGCTGTCATTTTTCCTTTCAAAAATGCACCAGCTGGAGAAAGCACATAATAACTTTCCAATGTAGATGTCTGTAGGATACAGCGTCCACACAACGTCAGGGGAACTGTGGGTGAAAAAAAAACAAACACAGCAGCATTGCGCTGCTATTTTACCCCGGTATTCTGTGAGAGCGTGATACTTCCCCGGTCGGGTCGACACATTCGAGTTTTAACTATAATATAGCTGCAGCGTGATTCTATTACATATAAATATGCTGATGATTCTTCGTTAAAACTAAAAACTGAATGTATTAAATTCATAACTCCAAATGTCAAACACCTAAATACCAATGCAATTTGAAATGTGAGTGGCTGAGTTTTTTCAATAGCATCATTTTTCTTAATAAATTTTGTGAAAAACTTCAATGGGGCTTCCATATATCAAAACCAGCAAGTAAACTTAGTTCCGCAGGATATGCTGTAAAAATGATTGGAAGTCTAAACTGCTAGACTAGTTTAATTTAGCTACTTCCGTAGCATGATGTCTCATGGTATATTGCTATGCGACCACTCGACTAATACTGAAATTATATTTGTTTTACAAAAGAGGGCTATTGGAGCAATCTATAATTTAAAACCTAAAGAGTCGCTCAGAAAAAAGATTAAGGAAATTATATTAACACTGACCTATCAAAATATAATGTATGTACAAAAAAATAAAAGTAGTTTTACAGAAAACGAAGTGCACTATGATCAAAGACTTTATTGAACTAAGTTTGTATAAAAAAGATTTTAATATTATTAAGGAATTTATAGATGATAATAACCCCTGAGAAAGATAGTCGCTACCAAGCTATTTCTAATTTGTTTTGTGTTGTTAATTGTAACATACGTGATTGTAAGCTGTTATTTTTTTGTTATTCTGTGAGAGCACCCCTGCCGAAACAACACATTTATTGTGCAACCATAATGTAATTGAGATATATTTAAAAAAAAGTTCCTCCGGTTTCCTCGCTGGTTCTTCCCAGGACAGAGGTTCTTTTTTGAACCAGTGGTAAATTAAAAAAAGTGACTTTCAATAGGTATTATATTATCTATATTGAATAAAAAGTTTCCGTTTATGTTATACATCCTGAGAAAATTTGATTTGTTGGATAAACTCGATTATAGGCTGAAATAAACTTGGTTTCAATAGATTCCTTAAGATTGAACCGGACCGCTTTACCGACAAAACTAAGTAAGAGGGCTCAGACGGACTTCTAGGCATTTATAAACAATCCATTTCAAAAAATAAATAACCTTGGTATTTTTTAAGTTTTTTTGTTAGGCATTTTTATATGATATAATACTTCCGATGCATATTATATACTGTAGATAGTGCCCGTAGTGTATATTTGTCCAAAAAGTTATTTATAAATATATACTGAGCACTTATTCAATACCTCCATCCCGTACACATAATTTTTTTTAAATAGTCTTTCACAGGATCTAATCTTTGATAAAAACAGGCTAATTTACAACTACACGGAAACCCGCTTCCATTCGTATCGTAACCTCTTTGATTTTACACTTCGGATAGTTTGGGGGTATTTGCGGAAGTCTGTTCCATCTTCTGAATAATAAAAACGGTAGTAAACATTTAAATTTCAATATAGTTACAACTGCTTCATTCTATTCATTGTATGAAATTTATGTTTTTTTTTTATAGGAGAACAAACATAAGGCACACCTGATGGTAAGTGTGCCGTACGTTTATTCTCCTATAAACCACCGCCCGTGAACAACTGAAACTCCAGAGGCTTTTTGTAGATGCGTTGCCAGCCTTTTAAAATTATACTAATATTAACATACGTTTTATACAACCAATAGAATGTATAAAATAACTATCTTGTCACTAAAATATATGAGTTATTAATTATCGAACTATTGTATTGTTTAATTTAATTATAATATAGTTTTTATTATTTAAAAAAAAGTATAGAAATTAAATACTTTGCGTTACGTTAGTTAAAGTCATTATACATGACCAACATGTTTTTATTTAACGTTTTTATAATATGCAATCATTTTATGTAGCCATTTAATTATTGTAACATTACTCAAAAATAAACACATAACATCCCATAGCATAATACCAGGAAGTTTCATATTTTATAGCAAAATCTGATTTTTTTAATAAAATAAGATTAACAGAAGCACACTGGTGTGGCCAATTGTCCCGATTCTAATCCGGGTCGAAGAACCAGAAAATGGTGACGCTAATAGTTCCTGGGTTCGAATCCGGAAAAGGATGGTCACTAAATGGTTATATTGACTATCTTGCCTTTCGTGTCCGTATCGAAGTAACCAGAAAGTGGTGGAGTTAAGGACCCGGGTTCAATTCCCGGGTCGGGCCAAATCAATTATACGAGATTTTACTATATGTGGACTGTATGCGTGGTTCCCTATTACTCCCTATAACTAATACAAGATGGCGGAAGTGGCACGTTGCCGGGTTTTGGGCAATGCACTTACTAGGACCTAATTTACTATATCTAGCTAATTTAGTCTACAAAATATGTGTTTTGGCGCAACCACACACAGTCAACCTGTTGGTAAGTGGATGCTGTGGATATCTAATAAAATTATTCTAAAGTGAAATATGTTTTAAAACAAATCCGCTGTGTTTCTTGCTGATTCTTCCCAGGACAGGTGTAATTTCTGAACCAGTGGCAAATAAAAAAATGGCTTTCAATAAGTATCATACAACACTCTATATTGAATTAAAATCATTCTATTCTAAACGAGACTCGAAGCGCTGATTTACTACGCTCTCATCAATGAAGAAAATATTATTTGTGTGTTGCCATGGTGTTGAAATACAGAGTATATTGGAAGTGCTCCAATAGGCACTGGAGCAACGTAGCTCGCTTTAACTAAGAACCTCCCAATAATGTAATGAGGCTTCGGTTCAGCCTAAGGATAACTATTCATCTTTAATTATATCTTCTAAGAGACATGCTGATCATGGTTTCCTCGGATTATTTTTTTAATTATACGCTTAGGTTTATGAATATCTACCACGTGATATAATCAGGAAATGGGCAGCAGCGTCATTCTAATAACTACTAGAAAATAAAAATATTGTTTGCCAAACCGCCTGCCAAGTGTGATAACTATAGAAAATATCCCCCGATGATTTATGAGACGATTTAAGTGGAGGCCTATGTTCAGTAGTGGACATTAATAAGTTGATTAATATTATAATATAATAGAAAAACGGCTTATCTAATTAAAATTTCAAATATGGCTACAATTTCTCTCGTTGAAATTTTCTTATAGCTGCTCTCCCAAATTGTTTTTAAAAGTTCTTTGTTTTTAAATACCAACCTTCATAAAACCATTATTTAATAAATCCTTGGTATTTGAAACATTCATGTCCTATTTACGTAATAATTCATGACACTGAGTTCTAAAAATTGTTTTGAAATATTTGTCCTAAGGTGTTTTACACCTAAATATTCAATCGTTACCCAACGTTTAGATGTCGTTAAGTCTCGCGCTGTCTCTATCACTTTAAGTTAAAGTGACTGTGACCTCACAAGGCTTAACCACATCTTAAAATTGAGCAGTGTTTGAGTATTTGGTCGTTAAACTCTGAGTTACATTTTCTGTGTTTTACTATTTTATCTGCAACTAATTTCATACAAAGGAGACAAAAGTGTAATCACCTCTGAGGAAAAAGATTAATTTTCGTCACAGAATTTAATTATATTGGCTCTCTGTATCATGCAGAGGAGCCGTGCAAACGACGGCTGGCGGTAAAAACATGTAAGGTTGTTTCTACCCAAAAATGATGCCGTGTGGCGGTGGTGTAAGAAAACTAATTACCCCATTACTTTTTATGTGTAACAGGCTATTATGGGAAATCCAGTACGGTCTGATGGCTTCTAATAGATGGCGTTATGATCATCCTCCTTACCCCACCCGTAAATTACTTAGAACGACGACGGTAGTTAGGGAAACTCGTGAAACAATGAACCTTCTATGTGAACTTTACGGCCTGATAAAGAAGAGAATATCCACTACCCCATACCGTTACGTGGGAGTTGACAGAGATAAAATAAAACAGAAGATGGGAAGCAGCGTCTTTCTAATAAATATTAAAAATAATAATATCGTTAAATATATAGTATACCTACCCGTTTGCCAAGCGTGGCAAATATGACAATTTTTTTGTCAATCGATAGGGATATTTTGGAGGCTATTTACATACATAAATTGCACAAGGACAAACATTCAGACCGGAACAATTATTTGCAGGCCATACAAATACTTTATCACTCACATGTATGTGGGATTCAAAAAAATTCGCTGTCGTCGGCATTTTAGAAGAGATTGCACAATCTATCGTTCCTCGGAAATAAACTGACTCTTGAAATTTGATAATGACGTTTTTGCTTCACAAAAAATAGAAATAGTTTATTCTTTTCTAACGTTTCATTATGTATTATTTTTGTATTACCTTACAGAAGTTAGCGATATAGTTCAGTAAATTGATTCGATAGCTATTTATGAGATAAATCACACATTAAAAATAGTAACATACAATAGTTCGATAATTAATCAACCATATATTTTAGTCGTTAAATAGTTATTTTATACGTTCTATTTATTGTCTAAAACTTATGTTAATATTAGTATAATTTTAAAAGACTGGCAACGCATTTTCAATTCCTCTGGAGTTGCAGTTGCTCATGGGCGGCAGTTTATAGAAGAACGAGCACACGGCAGACCTGTAAGTGTGAATTATGCGCAATTTGCCTTCTAATGTAAATAAATTGGCCCTCTTCCAATGGATTCGTGAGTGATGGTTGGGGATTATTCTTTTCCGGATGGAGTTCAAGTAGTTGGTTCTAGTCCGGTCCCGTCACTATCACAACGAAGTGGCTATGAGTGGACAATTTCTCCGTAAAAAAGGGGTAAAATTTACAAACCTGTATCTAATATAATTATTATTAAAGTGCGAAATACCAGCTAACAGTCTCCCTCATGGAATATTGTTATTGTAGCCCATGATAAAATGCAATGCTTGAATCTTGCGTCATCATTTCTGAAAATTCATATTCCTCACAGCCTGTAATCAAACCGCGTAATATTCTTTGAAGTACTAATATCTATTACTGTATTTTTGATAGCGTTTAATATTTCAACATTAAATGCCATTTACGTCGTACATTAAATCAAACCCTATAAAAGAAACATAATGTAGTATAACGGTGCAAACACGCATCGTACTCATACTTCAACAAGAAAACTTATTATACATCGCTTAAATATGACCTGTGCTGTTGAAAACGTTCAATAGTTATTAATTTATAAGTGGTAGAGCCAAGCTGCAGCTATATTATGGTTGTACCACGAATAGGTTGGCTCGACCGGAGAAGGACCAAGCTCTCACATAATACCAGATTAAAATTGTAGCTTAATACTGCTGTATTTCAATCTGTTTCGTGAGTCTAGAGTTCCGTAGACCCTTTTTTAATGGAAACGAGGCATTCCATTTTGGTCCACAGGAGTGACAACGCATCTGCGTTTTGATTGTCAATCGAGGACAAATGTAGATGTCTATGGGATACAACATTCACTAACCATCAGGTGGACTGTGTACCCGTGTATCACCCCTGTTCTACAAAAAAAAAATTATCAACACATTTACCTTAATCATCTGTGTAGTTATGTTCAAATATTTGACATATTTTAACGAGTTTAACAAAGTTACTTACCAAAAATAATCATTTGCTTAGTTCTTGAATCCTCTTCCATAAATGTCGAAACAACACACGTGTATTCGCCAGATATGTCGGTATTGAGCTTCACTATGCGGAGTGCTCTGTACATTTTTAATGGATCGTTTGATGCTCTAAAGGTTAAATCAACACGACCTCTCAATATTCCCATGTCCTGTGGCTTTTGCGACACAATCCATTGGTAGACAGGTCTAGCTTTATTTCGGAAAAACCACTTTACTACCAGTCCTGATGTATTGTTACCGTAAGTATAGTCACAGTCTAGAATCACAGCGTCTTGCACACCATACTGTATTATTTCTGGCACAACTATTTTCACAATTTTAACTGCATTCAGTTCTGAAACGAAGAAATGAAATTTAATGTAATATTCCCACTAATTTGATAAGTAATAAAAATTATACAATTAATATACATATACAAAATATTGAAGTTCCTGTTTTTTTTTTAATCCGACCGTTATAGAATATTTTCTTATGAAACTGAATTAACAAACAAACTTACAGTATACCTGAGGATACTTTAGCCACTTATGGCTAAAGCATCCCAGCTAGCGTTCTTATATGTAATAAACTAAGACGGTCAATTATATAATATTATTGCATTTCGTTGCATTAGTTAGTGTTTGAAAAAATTAGGGTGTATCAGAGAAATATATTTTTCATTTCATCATAAGAAATAACATTTTATTAAGTTTTAATTTTTTTTTTAAATACAACCATTGATTTCCGGATACATCCTTTTTTTTTTTTTTTTTTGCGGATGGAAAATCATCTAATGACCCCTTTCGCTCTGGGTGGAGCGTAAGGGAGTGTCAGACTTTTACTGACTAAAAACCATCCGTGTTCCTTCAGTGCCCTTACGTTCCGGAGCCGCGGTATCTCTTTCGAACAGCCCGCAGCCCCGGCAGGCGTCGGCCCTTGCGGGCCCCTTCACGCTGCTGACAGCTCTTTGAGGCGCGCGTGGAACAAAACGCGCCGTCGGCACGGCCTGTCGTCATTAAACGGACGGACGACGAGCTACCCATTGCTCGCCGTCCACAGGCCCGCGCCTACGGTGGCCGGGGGGCCACGACGTAGCCCCCGACGCCCGGGGCGTCTCCCGCGGCGGCCGGGGAGGAAAGCTGCTGCTCTCTCCTTCTCCCGCTCCGCCACCTCCTTCGCTAGCATCACTGCTTCGCAGAAGGTGGTGACGGCATCCCATTCCGTCTCACTCCGGACCATGGCTTCGACCAGGGCCGGACGCGAGAGGTCGCCGCCGCCTATCGCCGCTACGAGGACCCGGCGGTGCTCCGCCCAAGCAGGGCACACCTCCACGGTGTGTTCCACCGTGTCCTCCGGTCCATCCTCGCAGTGGGAGCACCCGGGCGTTTCCTCCCGCCCGATTCGGTGCAGGAACCTCCCAAACACACCGTGTCCGGTGAGGACCTGCGTCAGGCGGAAGGTGAGGATGCCGTGGCGTCTCTCAAGCCACTCCTCAAAGAGGGGTCTTATCGCCGCTATAGTGGCGTGCCCAGCACGAGGTTGCGACAGTCGCTGTCTCCATGTCGCCATGAGATCGTGCCGGAAGTCTGTCCGCTGCGCGACAACTTGCCGCGGCAGCGGGGTTTCCCCAAGGCATAGTGCCTCCGCACGCCATTAGTGCAGGCGCGCGAGGACTATCGCCTCCAGATCCCATGGCGGCAATCCGGCAAGGAGGCTCGCCGCCTCGCGGGAGATCGTGCGGTAGCCGCGAACCATTTTCACGGCTATCACCCTTTGGGGCGCGTTCAGGTGATGGACGGCAAGCCGCGCCAAACCACGCGCCCACACCGGGGCCCCGTAAAGGGCCATGGACCGCACGATCCCCACGTAGAGCCTCCGGCAGGAGGCGTTTGGCCCTCCCATCCGGATACATCCCTTAAATATTGTTTTGGAGGCCACTCTTTTTAATCATTAATTAAAAATATTTTTCCTTATTGAAGTAAATATGGGAAAAAGTGTGATAAAATGCAAAAAAGAGGATTTATGTTGCAAAAAACAACGGGCCAGTTTGACTGATAGCGAGTTGATTGCGGCGTCAATAATGATCAGAATGTCGTATATTAGTGCAAATAAGCAAAAAGATTTTTTTTTTCTGAATATAAACAATTAATATTCATAGACTGTACGAGAATTTACCGAGGACATATTAAATCGGTATAATATCTATATAATCTACTAATTAATCCATAGCCATTAGCCTGCAATGCGTCAATTGTTATTTATGCTATTCTCAATTCAATGTTGTTGAAAGCTTTTTTAAATTCATTCTTGGTCCTACTTAAAAGCAGTTTCGACCTAAAAAATTTACTCACTTAAAATTTCATCAATGAAGGCTTTAAATAACAAAGTGAGAATAGATTTTGATAAACAATTCATAAAGTCCCAGTTCTTATAACATTTTGTATAGGTGAACATAATTCCAGGAATATCACTCATAACAATTCTGGCCAACTACAAGCTTTAATGGTAAAAAATTGAATTATTTGATAATTAGTTTGCAAATACACTGTTCTTAGAATTAGGTGATAAGAAGTAAGATTTTATTAAAATGAAACTAATTTTTACGGATTTTATCGCGTTTTATTTAAATTTTTAATTCCCAACATTTCGGGTGCTTTACAGCACCTATGGTCACGGGGGGTGGGGGAGGGGGTACTGAGGTGTTTGAGGTCCCAATATCATAGCCCGGTTAGCTTTGGGTTTGGATTTAATTTTATTAATTAGAGATTCCCAAGCAGACGGACAGGTCCGTCTTCTCTATTGAAATAAGGATAGTTTTTAATTTCACCAGCCTAACGAATCATGCTAGGTAAGAATCTGTGTTCTTTTGCGAGGATTTGTTATCTATCATATCTAATGTAATAACGAGGTCATCCTTGAACATGTTCATAGGCTGCAGACTTCTCGGTACGTCGGTGCTTTACATCTACTTTATGTTCTTTTACGCGAGCTAATATACATATTTTTGTTTCTCCAATGTACGAGTAACCGCAACCACAATGTAGCTTGTATACTCCTGTATAATGTAGAGGAACATTGTTTTAACAGATGGTAAAAATTGACTAATCTTCTTGGACGACTTGTAGTAGGTTTTACGGAAACTCGCTTTAATATGTAGCCAATCTTGTCTGTGATTCCTCTAACGTATGGTGGTACAACACGCACATGCTCTAATGAGCTTCCCACAACATTTGTGCAAAAAATGCAGTATTACTTAAAAACTGCCTCACATCTGACCATCTATTGTGAAGAAAGAGTTTTAAAATCAAGTACACGGTGTGGCAATGGGCTCACCTGTATCTTCTGTTGTTGCCGACATATTTATAGAGAACTTTAAGGAGAAAGCCCTTCTTACAGCTTCTGTAAAACATCTGACAAACTAACTGCATTTATAGACAACCTCAACTTCATTACCTCTAAAATATAATTCACAATGGAGTAAGAGACAAATAATTCTTTAGCGTTTCTAGATGTTTTAGTTATCTGAAATCCTGATAGCACTAATGGTCACACTGATTATAGGAAAAGACCCACATCAACCGATATTTAAACGGTGAATCTCAACACCAACCTTCACAGTTAGCTACCTTGGGAAAGTCTTTGTTTCAAAGTGCACAAGGAGTCTGTGATAGAAAATATATCCGCCGAGCTTCAGCACATCAATCAAGTATTGCAAGACAAGCTTCAGGTCCCGCGCGTGAGACGTACACAGTGACCGAGTGAAGCCGGCCACAGTTACTATTCATACTTATGCCTCCCACGTGATATCGTCTGTGCCAAAATATACTTAAAAAATATTACGACTCGACTATAAGTATAAAATTAAAAAATTACCAATGTGAAAAGATACAGAAGACTTAAAAAGGCATTAGTCTACCTAAAGAGAATATTCATTGTGATTCGACAGATGAGATTACTAATGACGATAAGTGTTTTCGTTAGTACTACCATAATGCAGAATATACAAAATCCGAATATTAAAGATAATCATGTAACGAAACCTATATCCAAATCATGATCTTATATAAAATATAACAAACCAGAAAAAAATTACATATAAACAAGATATCATGCTAGAAGAATTTTTAATAGAGTTTCCACAGTTTTAATTAATTGGCATCACATAATCATTAATTTTAAGATAGCAGCTTCCTGTTAGAAAATGTTCTAAAATATGCAGAAAGAGAAGAAACAGCCAGAATATCAATACAATATGTATTTGAAGTGTGTCTATTGGAGCTACCAGAAGAAAATATTTTAATTATTACTGTGTTTTGGAACAGAAGAGGGGAAGACGCATTCTATAATCAGTAACAATATATCTTAAACTATATTAATAAATACATATTCTAAATACAGTACAATTATAGGAGGCGACTTGAATATTGACATATTAAAACAAAATACAAAGATTGGACAATTTTTACATCAATTACTTGAATTTCAATTTAATCAACGTATGATAAAGTCTACTCGTGTAACTAGCAACATATCAACAGGCTAAGTAGTAAGGGGATATAGTAAGTCAGCTCAAATTCTAATTTCGCCCCCACATCCCCGGGCGTCGTATGCTATGTACCGAAATGTTTGTAATCACTAATACTGTAAGTAGATAGGTCGTTAGACACTTATTTCATTAGGTTTATCATATTTATGCCTGTTTCTTAACGTCAAGCCAGTCACGTCTTATTTTATTACGGTTATTTCCCATTTTAATTTTACGTCGTCCTGTTGCGTAATGTGTATTCTGATCGTAAGCGACACAACCTTCAAAGGCTGAAGCGAAACTGATCGGGCGGCAGCAATCACGCTTCAAGAGGCCGATAGTTTAGGTAATTTCTTTTTACAGTGAAATAATGGTATTTTAAAAAAAGTAAATAACATAAGCACTGCTTTATAGTTATTTCAGTTAGTATGCAAAGTTTCATGATCTTATTTAAAGTATTTTATGAATAACAACGGTTTATTGTTTATTTTGGAGGTAACTTTGGATTTTTTTTCTATCGAGAAAATTTTACGGAACCGTATTTTCGTCTAACATAATCCTTAACATTAATACTCAACTTTACCATATATTTATTTCAAAATTATTGCTGCAATATTTTCGGCATAACGGAGCATCTTGCTAAGGCATTTGAGGTTATATTTCCTCTTAATATTTATAAATTTCTGCAACGTAAAACTAAAAACTAGTGTAGAAGAATTTGAAATTTCCGATCACGTGAGTAAAACAAACAAAATATAAGGTATAAAGGAAAAAAGAAAAATTATTTTCAATAATATGCAAAACTTTACATCCAAATTAGAGTTATGCAATCGGAAATCGGTCGCAAATTTTGGAACATAATAAAAATATTAATTATAACAGCAAAAAGTTTATTTACAAACTGATATAAATACAGAATGAGTGCATACCCAAAGAGAAATGTTAAATTAAGTCAAGATATAAAAAGTGTTGGTTGACCAACCAACTTTGATCAAGAGAAATAAAAAAAATATAGAAAAAACATGTTCACTTATTTTATATATTTTTTATTATATAAAATTGGCAATTTTATTGGTAAAGACCTTATATTATTATTAATATTTTATAGTCATCTTCCCTTTTAATATATCGACTAGCGACCCGCCCGCCCTGGATAATATCTGTTGATGCGCCGTTTGATAACGCAATTTTTTCGCTACTATTACTATTTTATATCACGTTTTTGTGATAAAATATTGCGTAGAACCCCTCTGGCATTGATCTTTTTCGATCCGTAAAGTTTCATGATAATTGATTAATAAGCCATTCTAAAGATAAGCCTGGACAGATAGATAATAATTTTCAAAGGGCTTATATTCAATTCTTAAAATCAATTTATTTCTTAAAAATATGCAAATAACTCTGACCTTTACAGAAGCCAATGATTTTAATATAACGCCACTTCAATTTTATTTACATGAATGGATTCAATATTAACTGTATATTCTAAGTATTAAGATTTTTGCCTAATGATGGAGATGGTGTTGATATGGGCAACTAGTGAAAATTTCTATAGCGTGACGTGCTGGATAATTCTTCTTATAAAAGTGAAGTGACAAGGGAACCTACATTTTATTTATTAATAAGTGGATACTGCAGCCATCTTCCAACAAAGAAGGCTAAAAATGTGTTGTGACCTCCAAGGACTAATATGAAATACCTCGTAACCTGTTTACATGCTACGTTGTCTTTTTCGACACCCATGTAACAAAATGAAAAGCTGGATTAATCTAAGCAACCGACAAACTATGGTGATTAAAGTTATTTGTCCATTATGTTATCGTGTAGTGGCGGGGTGAAAATATCCAATACCCCATATCATCCCTTGTGTGTCGTAAGAGGCGTCAAAGGGAAACAAGTCAGGAGATCGGCAGCGTCTTCCTAATAACGACTTTAAAATAAATAATTATGGTTGACCATCCGTTTGCTAAGCGTGGCAAATATGGCAAATATCCCCGATCAATGAGGTAATCTATGGGGGGCAATGTTCAGCAATATTAACAGGCCGTAGCAGTAACGATAATTCAAAATTTAAGATAAACCACAAAACTACAGCTCACTAAATTGAGAAAACAGTCTCAAAAACGGAAACAATCCAAGTTACTAAAATAACATATTTCTAGTTCTCCAAACAAGAAATATAATAAAACCCCTGCATCATTACATATTCTTTTAGAATACAAGCCATCGTGAATACGTTGAAACCGTCCTTACGGCGCAAATCCCTAAAGGGCACTTACAGTCTTCAAAATCTCCACTAACGAGGTGAATATCTCAGTCTGTCGTATCTGGATGTTGGCGGGTCAGCAGAGATGACTAAAGTTAAATTGTAGGGATATGGTTTGTGTCGAGAAACTACTGTAACAATGCAATTAGGTACATCAACGAAGTTGTCGAGTTTCACCTGACAAAATTTGGTAGGTGTAACAAGTTAAAGAAGTAATTTTGTTTTGTTAAAAATATACAATGTCTTTTAACAGCCGCTAAATATATTTTTAATAATTATTTTGAAACTTAAGCACAGATATAATTTACCCTGTTATCACCTGCGTGGGATCTTTTAATGTAGCATAATTTAGATTTTTTTTAAATATTCACGAAAATGAATAACTATTTTATCAATTTTATTAATAAAAACATTTTTTTCTGAAAAGAGTATAAACTAGAACAATCCAATTCAATACCAATTCTTTATCAGTTTCGTCACAATTGGTTCAGATATGCCGAAAACAAGCCCGAACAGACGGAAAGAGAGACAGACAGATTAACAAAATTATAATAAATACAATATGTGAATGTGCAATATTATTACTTTCAAAATTTGAAATCTAAGTAACAACATCTAAAGTTA